GTTTAGTTGTTTGTGTTGGTGGTGGATTTGGTGGATTTAGAGGAAACCAAGCTGGAGAAAAACCCTCCGACTTTTTCTTTGAACATCTGACGGAATTGAGAACCGCAAACCAAAATGACGGGCAAACATGTACTAGTGTGGATCAGAAAACTTATTCTGGACACTGCATCAAAAGTGCTGATAACATTATAGAATTCGTTCACAATGTCATACGTCAGGAATGACTGCAACATCATACACACACACTGCGGGCCACAGAGGATAATAAACAACACCGATACTCCAACTAAAGAAACGGTGCTGACTATCTCCTTTTTCGGGGTCTGGAAAGCGGCCTGGCTTGTGGTGAGGCTCTTGCGTTTTCTCACCTGTGACCATATTCGGTGTATTATCTTGGAATTCATTATCAAAATACCGAAGAAAAGCAAACAATAAACAGACGTGTGAGCAGTGAAGTAGATGTTGAATGCTGTGACGAACTCCGCGTTCAACAGGTTATAGGTAGGACACGCGTTGACCTCGGTGATGTGACGCTGAACCTCCAAGTACGCAGAACAACACACAAGGAATAGTAAGGAACTGATGATTATCTGTGGAAAGAAAGTTAAAAGGTGGTTTATTGCACCAAAAAAGTGAACATATGCGCACACCAATAATATTTGCATAATATAGACTTTTACCATTATTCTTGCCGTTTTGTTGAGTAGGCCTTATAGTACCCTTTAACATAGAAAAATAACAACAGTTGTTAAACAGTCACATAAAACAATTATGCAAATAAAACACAAAATGATTGCGTCATATACGTTACTTAATTGTTCTCATGCCTGCTCATAAAATTTATTTGGCATCTAAAAGGGCGAAATCAGCAGTTAGAACACTTTTTTTTCTCTGTTACAGTGCACGATTTTGTGCGGATCGCCGTTTGCCACTTATATTAGCACGGCTTATCTAAGCAAGTACCTCATAATAACAAACACTGTGAAGAACTGAAATTTATGCAAAATGCAAAAACAAAATAAAAATAATGAGAAAAAAATGAAATAAATAAATGAATTAATGAGTAGATAAAACAAAAACAAAAATTTTAAAAAATGGTTGAAGTCTGAAGTTTTGAATAAGAATACAATAGTGTTACTTACACCTTTTAATATGGCAGTGGGCGTTTGTTTCCTTAAAGGGAAGCAGACGACAATGAACCGGTTGACAGTAATGAAGAAGGTCGTAAAGACGCACCAGTCGTAGGTAAACGTATGCCCCATTGCCATCAACGAGCATACCCAACCAGGAAAAACGTTCGTATAGAAATAGATGTCGGATACGTGTACAATTAAGAAGATACTGCAGGTCAACTCCATAGATAGACGACATATGCTAACCGTGGCGTACGTGATAAAGAGGAACAACGCCGATTCGGAAAAAACAGATTTTCCCCCGCAATGTAAAATAGAGACAAGGATCCCATCCAGGATGATGCCTAAAGGGCACATCACCACCGATACATACGCCAAGGTTGTGCTGAATCTTTGGTCTTCTTCAAATGTTTGTTTAGATAAAAACGGCACGGCGCATTCTGGACCGTCCTCGACGATATCCACTGTCAAAAGTTCCACGCCGTCTGGCAGGAGGTCTGAACAAGCCATGCTAACGAGAGCTTTTGGCTCCAACAACGTGAAATTGGCCACGTGGTGACTGAGTGGACACAATAACCTGTGTGTGGTGAATTTAACTTCATATGATGCGCAGATGTAGGCTTGGGGCAGGGAGCTGTTTAATTTGTCACATTCTTCCTCTGATGTACCCAGCATGAATTCAGCCACGAAATCTGACGGGGAAAGTTCGGTCAAACCACAAGGGCCGTCATAAGTGGAGGGGGAGAACAGAGGATTTCCAATGTCCACGTCATTTTCAGCTCGTCTTTTAACTTTACATAAGAAATAACGCAGACCATAATTCTCGTTGAGTAAGTTCTTAACTATCTGTTCGGATATCTTAGTGCTCGCACCAGCAAGCGTGAGTGATATTTCTGCTTCGTTATGTCGCCACTTTGTGGATGCACGGAGACAAATGTTTTTGCTGTCCGCTAAATCCGAGTCAGATGCGTTTCTCACTGTACTGGTACTGTTCACACTCACCGTGCGGTTAACGGTGATTCCGTTAGCTTTATCGACGATTTGCCTTGTCAAGGAGAGACCGTCCAAAATGAGCTCGTCTAGCTTCTTTTTCAATTCAATGAACGTTATTTTGTTCTCGTTGCTCTCGTCTATGAATGTGCGACACTGGGTCGCGTTTACCCCGATGACGAAAACGGGATGAGCCCGTGGAGCTTCTTGATAAAAAGTGAACACGTCGAATCGGCATTCTTGAGCCAATAAACTAAACATCGTTTGCTGAGACACTTCTGCTCGTATCCCGACAGTGGACATGATTTGATCGAAACTTTCGACAGAGAGGTTAAAATGACAATTGGACAAGGCATCAATACTGCCAGCCGGGTTTCCAGTTGGGGCGCCACCAAACAGGGTCGCAAGCTGGTACCACGAGAAGCGCACGAGACAAAAAGGGATGAGATAAAACAGCATTTTGGTAGTACGATACAAATCGTGAGTTCTTTGAAGAATTGAAATATTCTGCGAATATTGTTCAGCTTACCCGGCAAATGTTTTTGTATTTGTTAGACACCTTGGACTGTCTACACTAAGCAATGATTGCAATGTTTTTTCCTCACAGAAAATAAAAGTTAATGGAAAGTTTCATTTCCTTTCAATCCACATATGGCGAACGTTTCTTTAAGCCTCCACTCTTCTGATCTCTTCCAGAACAGTCTCCGTCTTGCTCTTTGGCGGATTTTTGACGGAAAGGCCGCTTAAATAGAAGGCGGAAGCTGCGTGTGAGATATGGTTTCGTCATTTAGATAATGAAATTGAAAACGCACAGTTGGGATGGCGTAATGGAATTTTCCATATCTCAAATTATCCATGTTTAGCACATTTGCAAGTTGCTAGTATTGCTTCAATTTTGCTATCATCTAGACCACTTTCGCCTCTGAAAGATTAAGGGTTGAAGTTTTGTCATGTTTTTGTTTTCATGTTTCCACTGCTTGTCTGTTTCAGCTTAGCGCTTATTGCTATAATATTGAAATGCTGTACCCAAACGTGTTTCTAGATTTATTTTTTTAAAATTCAGAACAACAGACAAATAAAATTAGCACGGATGACACAGAAATGGGCCTGTGCCCAAGACCAGTATGGTTACCGACAGCAGCCAAGGAATGTATCATGGTTATGGCGCTTGTTCTTCGTTAGCGTTCTTGTACTATATATTATATCCAAAATCATGGCTATACGATCCAAAAACAAGTTCTAGAGTTTAAGTTTCTTGTTTTTGAGTCTCTCTCATATCATAATGGTGATGAAGACTGGTGAATTTCACTTGGAACGAAAGAAAAGAAATTACCCCTCCCT